TATTTGATGAAATGCATATTCCACACAATTTTTGCAACATCAAAGTTCAAAAATCAATTTATCCAACAGAAATACATACATTATTCAAACCTTTTTTAAAACATTATTTGTATGCATGTATATATACATATTATAAGTTTTTAGTTTACTTATCCAGTACAAAAATTTAAATTATAAATCATAAAAGACAAATAATCTGTATATATAATAAAAATGGAATAAAATCTAGATAAAACATAGACATAATTACAGCATTATTTTATTAAGTAGATAAAAAGGTCAAAAAAATTTGTTGTTTTGTCATACATACGTTATATTCTTTTTATGTGGTGCTAAGTGTCAAAATGGTCAAAATTTATGTTAATTAAAAGAGAGTAACATTTACAACTATTTTACGCAGTGAATAACTTAAGNAGTATGGAGTAACATATGTTTTGTTTTCCAGTTTTTCCGATGGTGGAGTTACATTTGTCTTTGAGAGACATGAATTACATATATTATTTAATATTAATAAATGATTTTTAAAGGAAAATGCAGTGGTCAAAAGTTGACAATAATGTAGGAAAGCATGTTTGAGAAAAGTTTTCGTTAGTGTGCGTGTCGGTGCTTTTTTACTTTTACAAAAGTGCATTGTCAAACCTAAATTTTTATACTTTATTATACTTTATTTTTTAATAAATATGCATAAATTTTTATTGAGTTATCATAAATTTAAAAATAATTTAAATAATGTCGTATTTTAAACATGTAATTTCGTTTAAAAAAATATAAAAAGTCCACTAATTATATGACATAATTTGTTATACTTTAATTATTATAATTTAGTATTTGCTATTTTTCTTTTGTTGAGATTTATGCTCATCATATGTTATGATGTTGACATTAGAACTTATGTCATTGCCCTATTTAGTTAAAGAATTTTGCTACTTATGCATAATTAAATGTATGTATAAAAATGTACATACTTATTTAAGGAATATTTGGATAAGGTACACCCCATGCATCTTATGTACACATAATTACGAGACAACATTTTGTATTTACCAACAATTACATGAGAGCTAAAAAGAAGTAAGAAAATGACACGATATTTAAGAAACAATGGTATACTTATTTTATTTATTTTTACTAAAAAGTTCTTGTGCACAAATATAAGTACTGAATGAAGAATATGGGAAATGCAACACTTGAAATAAATAAATAAATAAATAATATATATATATATATATATATATATATATATATATATATATACATATAACATTTTACATTGCAACATATACAGTCAATTTTTATCTACATTTTTGTTTCAACATGCTGACTTGCTAAATGTTAATTAACTGTGATTTATAGATAAAGCTAGAAAAGACTCAAGATTCAAGTTTTAGGTTAAAACCTACAATAGAACAATGGCTATAAAATTTGTAGTCGAGTATAATGCGGGGAACGTTATATTGTCCAAAATTTTTCTATTTAATATCGTATGTTACGGGAGATTATTATTATTATTTTTATATAACCTGCATCACACATGTTTGTATCAATGATTAGAAAGAGTTGACAACTATATAATCTCCAATACTTGGTCAAAATTATTTATTGGTTTATGAACCATGTTGACCCATTGAGTACACATTAGACACAATTAGTAGCCTCTTTGGACTTGTTTAAATTGCCATTATGGTTTATATTTATTTTTTTATTTATGTTTTCATAGTGTTGAGACGATCATTGTTGTTTTAGTCCTTTTTCTGTACTCAGATTTTGCATCTATAAAACGTATTACCTATCGTATTCGAACCTAAAATTTTATAGTGAGGGCGCCTTAGCGAAAAAAAAAATAAATCATTAAATATAAATAATTTTAAATTAAAATATCATACTTTAGAAAAACATATGAATAGTGGTACGATATTTCGTAGCATAATCATATATTTTTTTTAACGGAAAGATGACGGGGTTGANCCCCCAACCAAAAAAAAAAAAAAAATAAAAAAATAAAAAAATTAAAATTATAAAAAATCACTATAACACTTACTAATGAAATATTTACCATCCTAATTATTATTTCTTCGTCTCATTTTATTAATTGAAATCTCTAGTCCCACACCCCATCCTCTCATAAGTGTACATGAATTCGTGCATAAAACCTCTAATTAATTGTTACTAGTTACTACTGATGATATAATTTTATTATTAAATTCCGAAAGTAAAGTATAATATTCTGATTATATCCAATTATTAATGCCATGTAAGTTGAACTGTTACTGGTGGCCCTCAATTGCCAGTAACACATCCATTTAATTAAAGTGGAAAGCACACCAAACACAAAATGGAACTAATCCGTAACCAGCAATCAAATTCATTTAATTCTCACAAAGCCTAATTTTTGTCGGCTAAATTCGATGTTGATGTGATTGTTATCGTCAATTGGGCCTAACCACTAATCAATATGTCTATTATAAAATTAAGTCCTCAAATACATTTTTGTATCAGGTTTTTTAGCAATGTTACACAACGTAGAAAATGGCCATTAAAAGTCACTAGGCCACAAAAACAATTAATTAATTAATTATTTTATAGTTAGATAAACGTTTTCAATAAATATATATTTTTATAATATAAAATACTAAAATAGTAATTTTATAGTTAGATAATCTTGTCACGTTATTGAAAGGATAAATGAAATGAATTTATATGCAACAGTATACATGTTTTTTATTCAGAATCAATATTGTCAATAAATCTTTAAGATAAAATATAATAATGTATTGTTATCTAAAAAATGCTACAAGTACATAATAAATGTATATAGAAGTGTACATAACACTCACATAGAGTGAGGTCCACTTAATTGTTATTTTCCTCGAAAGTGCTCAACCTCAATCATTTGTGCAATTTAGTTAATATAATATTGATGCTAAATGTACACACAACAATTCATATCCCTTATAATCCAAATTAATCACTTAGAAAATAGACAAAACCAAATATTTAAAGATTCTAATCATATTATATTCACAAATGTTGAAAAAGGCACAATTATATATATTACATTTGTGATCAATTTTATTTCATTTTATTTAAGTTGGCGACCACCACGCTTGCTGTTTTACAGCTGGGCATGATATTTTCCGTTAACTTTTTGGGACGCTCCTATCTTTAAATACAGAATGGTTTTATTGTTGTTATTGTTGGACGATAATTAATGTCTCTCATTCATTAAAATTCATGTCTATTGATACCAAATTCAACCGTTATTGCTTCTGTTTCTTTATCCACCCCACAGGCCACACCCACAATTAATGCATTCATGGAAAGGTACCAACGTACCATACTCCAATTATCTTTTATACTACTACTATTATTACGTATTCATCTTGTGTACATGCATAGACAAAAATATAAAAAATAAAACGAAAAATGTAGAAAATATCATATCTACAAAAAATGAAATATTCTTTTAGATTGTTAACAAATATAAGATAAAAATATAACAATTAAAGTTGTTGTGATATCAATATAATAAATATTAATTGACAATGATTGATAGATAAAGATATTTGTGCTGGAGAATAATATGTAATAATAATTAATACTCCCTCCTATTCATAATAAGCGTCGTTTTGGGAAGTTGCACACTAATTAAGAATAATTTTTTTGCCAATAATAACCCTCATTAATGAAGATAGAAATTAATGTTTTAAAAAAAAGATGAAGAGAATATGAAAAGATGTATTTATTAACTAAATAAGGGTAATAATGAAAAAATATGTACAAAAGATCAAAAATAACATTTATTTTGGTTAATAGTTGATAAAACCAAAATAACATTTAAAAAGAATAGGAGGTAGTATTATATTTTAATTACATCACTGTAATTCACTAAATTTTTAAAATAATAAAAATCAACAGTAGTTTGTATGAAACTTTTTACTTCATATATGTATATTAATTCGGATCCTAACCTTACCTTCTAACGGTTTTGTGACAAAATATCATAATTTTCTAACGGTTTAAATAATTGCTTAGCAAAAACTATGCGCCCATAGGTACATAGTAGACTCGTTGGTAGAGGGGAGCCAACAGCCAAGGCATTATTTAACTAAGATATTGTCGTACTAAAAGGTCCTATTCTTACAGTTTTGCTATGAAGCCAACAAATGACTCTATAGTGGAGTCAACTTTTTATATACAACAAATAAGTCATACCATATTAATAAAATTATTAGTATTGTTTAAGTAATTAGAGAATATGGTATGATTTAATTGTTGTATATAGAAGGTTGACTCCACTATGGAGCCAACTATTGGTTTCATAGCAAAACTGTCTATTCCTATCCATACTATTCCACACAAACTTTTAAAGGCTTTCATAAATTTTTGTGTATTTAATTTAGGCTTCTCAAGACTTTTAAGAGTGTTGAGGTAATCATTTAGGATTTTAAATTCTTAAATCATGAGGTATTTAACTTAGGAGGGTGTATTTAATATTTAAGGCTTCAGAAACCTTGTGTATTTAATTTAAACTTTTAAAAGTCTTGAGGTATTCTTTTGAGATTTTAAAAATTTTTACAAAATCCTGAGCTATTTAACTTATTTGAATTGAAAGTAGAATTTGTTAAGACTTTTTAAAATTTCTAAAGAAAACCCTTATACGAAATCTCACTTAAAATCCCACCTCCAAACTTAATATTTCACAAGATTCCTCCAAAATTCAAAAATATTAAAAAATCTCAAATCTCAAAAAATCCCAAAACAAAAACTAGTAGTTAGAGTACAACGAAATTCTTCTAGTAGTTAGAGTACTACGAAATTCTTTTTCTTCACAAAACCCTTCATTGATGGGTAAAAAACCATACATACTAAGGAAAGCGGAACAAAAAAGAACCATGTCACGTAAAAAAAAAAAATGGCTAGAATTTGGGGTCACATTAATAATTTTTCCCTATGCATCTAAAATGCTACAAATAGCCTGCGAAATAAGGGTAGCCACGTTTTCATCTCCGCTGGTAATTGACGTTTTTGCCCCCATGACTTCGACAACGGCTTTCCCAGGCTCCGACACCGTGATGCTTTGTGTAAGGGATGTGTAGCGTCTCGTTTTCATGGTAGTAGCTGACAGAAAATGAAGTTTCAAGAGAACTCATAATATGCTGCTTCAGGATATTGGGAAACTGGTCCAAGGCAAGGCAGAAAACATACTGAAGGCATTAATTAAGCCAGTAAATAAATGAATTGTATATAACTCCAGAAAGAAGAGGTTATGAAACAGATATCTTTACTTTACCAGAACATGCTTGGGTTGTAATATATGCAGTAGATGGCGCGACTTTTGCAGCCTGACAACAACAACATGAAAGGAATTAGATGCATCGAATAAATTGTAACTTCATTTATCTGGAGTTGACATGCATAATGACAAAGGTCAAGCTGTCGCAATCAGGTTATGTTATTTCACTTTCCATCATTTCTGAAAAAGAAAAATATCATCTTCCCAAGAATTTTAGGTAGAGAATGTATCTTTCAGAGGTGCAACAACTGCACTGCACTCTAAAGCTTGTTGATTCTAATATATACTTATGTACATAAAAAAGTGTACACAGTTTAGGGGTTCCCAGCATAAAAAAGTAAACATCACAAACAAACAAGACCAAACTCAAAGCAGAAGGGGTATAATTAATGTTGAGAATTTACAAATTCAAACCATAAACAGAAGAAATCAACTTACTGCAATCCTGAGAGGAAAGAAGACTGGAGAACTTTCATTGCCATTGGCTTGAAAGGCAGGAAAGCCAGACTGGTATCCACCCCGTCCTGTAAAAGTAGACAAAACGTTGAAAACAATGCCAGAGTAAATAGCAATTTCTTGAACTCCATCAAAGTGCTCAAGATAATTATAGCAGACGACAAAATAAATTTATCTTCCATTTAAAGGAATACTAGTATAACACCCATGTATTACATGGGTGGGGACGGTGTCTCATCCCGTCATAAAAGTGGGATGGGTATGCAGACAAATCAAATCCAAGATCGTTCCGGACCGCGCCCACCCCTACCATAAATAATCAACATATTTATAGATAATCTAAACCTATCCAAGCTTAATAACGAAGCATGTAATTTTGCCACATAGGATCCCGAAGCATGCGAGCCTGCCACATAGGCTCAACACGTTCTCAATTAATATATAGTGGGGATATTATGATGTAGGCACCTCCATAACAAGTAGTGAATTTGGATCCCCGGCCCACACCATTTCCGGAGCAAATGAATAGCAGGTCCAAGTCGTAGACTCCAGTGGGGACAAAAAACTATGCAAGGTTCCTGCCAAATTTTTCTGTCTTCATAATATCAGCAAGCAATGTAATCATTGCAAGAAATTAAATTATCACACAAAGAAATTATCATCTCGATATTGCCTTCTCCAAAGAAAAAATGAAAGCAATTTGTACATTATCTCTACAAAATTTCATAAGCAATTTTAAAAATTGACTTTTTCTAACAAATTTTATCGTTCTGTGGCTTGGCTTGCTAGTCAGTAAAACCTCAGATTTCAAATATGTTGAGAAAAATCTTCAATTTGACATACACGTACGATCTTGCAGTTGCTTGCATAACCACTCTGGTATAATATTTGTGAATGCCATAAGCTCTTCTGCAACAGATGAAATTACAAAAATGGGAACCTGCAACACAGTGGTTGAAGATTGTTTGAGAAATGGAAAAGGAAAATAACTTGAAAACGGAGCTTTTAAAATGAATAATGCTCAGTATTGCCTTATAATGTATTCAAGAATAGTAGTATGCAACGTTTAAAACAGTATACTGTTCACCTGTATGAGCTAAAAATAACATATATTACAAATTGGTACAAGATGTAAATGAATGCTTCATATTTACCCCATTAGTCAGTGAATCGAAAAATCAGGGTACAAAACTACAACTCTTTCATACCAAAAATCTATGGTTCTCCTCCAAGTACTCATCATCATTAAGGAGAGTACCACTTGTAACAATATCATCACTATTGCAAGTTCCAATCAGTTCAAATCTAAATGAGAAGAAAACTAGTCAAACAACAACATTACTCTAAATAAATGCAGAGTTCCCAAACATATGTGTCCATGATTTCTGGTGCTTCATAATTCTATGTGTAAATTTATGGTACTTTGGAATATTAGATATAGATATGGACTTCTATCCATATTTATTAGGACTTTCGAAATTATTAAACACTCGACTAACTCAGATTATAAATATATTTTAAAAATTAAAAACTTTTGTATTTGTTATCGTATTTTTATATATTCAAATTAACCAACACGTGACGAGTATATTTAAAAATTAAAAACTTTTGTATTTGTTATCGTATTTTTATATATTCAAATTAACCAACACGTGATATACAATATAAATTAGAAAAATTATTATAATATGGAAGGGGTAAGCTGTACAAGTGCCAAGTGTCATTTTAATTATTAATAATAAAGTAATATTTTGAGAATTATTTCAAAACTTAAAACAAAAACTTCTCTTCCTAATTTTTTTTTTTTTTAAAAAAAAATTAAGTATAAATTTTTTTTAGCACCCGTGTAATACAAAGGGGTTTGTACTCTACTAATTCTGCTATGAATTTAGAGAGAATCATCAGAAGAATTAGCTAATTTTTTGCTTTGAAAATTTTCTTTTCTCTAGAGTATAATAATACAAAAATGAAACTAGGAAGGTGGCATTTCGGGAATGTAATTGAATATGAAATAAAAATATAATGATAATAAATTAATAATAGAGTAATGATTGGTTAAAAAATGTTAGCAGTATATAAGTAAATCAATACGAGAAAATATAAGAGAGAGCGAATAATGCACCTTGTTGAAAATTTGCAAAGGCATCCAACATGTTGTGGTAAAATATTTAGTGAAACAAAATAAAAAAATTTGGTGTCCTCAGCACAATGTAAATGATTTATTTGCAAAGGCATCCAACATGTTGTGGTAAAATATTTAGTGAAACAAAATAAAAAAATTTGGTATCCTCATCACAATGTAAATGATTTAACCTTTTCCATCAACATAGGCTAAGCAATCAAATGTAAAATTCGATATTCATACTCATACTAATTATAAGATTCATACCACTTATTTTATTTTCAAAATTATCAAATACACTTCTATCTATACTATTTAAATTCAGACATTTCATACCAAAATAAAATCGTCCTCTTTTTATTCATCATAAAACTCAACTATTATTTTATTCTAAAATTTATTGTCATATAATATGTATTAAGATAATTTTTAATTAACCACCGAGTTTTGTTATATGTAAGTACTTTTAATAAACTAAATTTTATACTTTTAGTTTACACAACATGAAATTCTATTTATGCTACGTAGTTTTGTAACGCTACGTACTATAAGAAACAAAACGCGACGAGTTACGTTATAAACATTTTAAAACATTAAAACATATACAATTGTGATGTTGATGTGATTGTCTTCATCAATTGGGCCTAACAAATGTCTATTACATAATTAAGTCCTTAAATAGAACTTTTATCAAGTTTTCCGATTGCCTTCATCAATTGGGCCTAACAAATGTCTATTACATAATTAAGTCCTTAAATAGAACTTTTATCAAGTTTTCCAGCAATATTACACAACGTAGAAAATGCCCAATAAAAGTCACTATGCCACAAAAATATATATTTTACAGTTAGATAAACGTTTTCAATAAATATATATTTTATAATATGAAATACAAAAATAATAATTTTATAGTTAGATAATTTTGTCACTCTATTATAAGGATAAATAAATGAATGAATTTATATTCAACAGTATACATGTATTTTTTTTTATTCAGAACTAATATTGTCAATAAATCTTCAAGGTAAAATATAAGAATTTATTGCTATTTTCCTCAAAAGTGCTCAACCTCAATCATTTGTGCAATTTAGTTAATAAAATATTGATGCTAAATGTACACACAACAATTCGTATCCATCATAATCCAAATCACTTAGGGGGCGTTTACTTTGCAGTATAGGATAGGATAAGGCATTTAGTCCCGCCGTTTCCCTCATTTACTTCTGCGGATTGGGATGAGATTTTAATGACATGGCGCCAATGTGGCAGCCTTCCATCCCAAATTTTCGGATTAAAAAATCCCGCCTCTCCCCTCTGATAAATTAATCTCGTTTTTCTCATACCTTTTCTACCCTCAAAAACTGTTGCGAAAAGGCCAAAATACCCCTTAATTTGCATCAAATTACAGTTTCAATTCAATTACATCTGATTTTGCCCTAGCCCATCTCAGAAACCACGACGCCATTCTTGTGAGAGGAAGCTTCGGATTTTTCGCCCGTGAAGAAGGTGAGCTTCAATGACACCATTTTAACCTATTCCATTTCCATTTTTTTAAACTTATTTTCGTTCGTCGGAGGTTCGTGGTAGCATGTTTGAAATCGAGCGTTTTCCCCTAATTTCTGCAGAAACGACCGCGACATTGTTATGAAACTGGTGGCTTTGGGTTCAAAAATAGGCAAAAATCGAAAGTGAAAGGATACTAGCTATCGAAAGATTTTTCAATTTCACAAAGATTTTTCAATTTCACGAAGCATAGGCAAAAATCGAAAGTGACAGGCAAAAATCAAAAGCGACTGCCGAATTGAAGGACTAGCTATCGAAAGCGACTAGGTCATTCATTGCCGGAAAATGGGCGTACCTCTCACTGCACTGCCGAATTGAAGGTTGTCGTCGACGGTCGTAGCTATCGGGGGGACGTCGTCGGCGGTCCAATTGAAGGAGTGGCGGCTCTTCGGCGGGAGTGAAGGTTGCCTTCTCGTCGGTCGCGCAGAGATAGGGCAAAATGAATTGGGCATGGAAATGGCAAAAATCGATTTATTCAGAGAAGGGCAATCTAGTCTTTGGATTCTATATCATCTCAGTTAATACATCGAAGTAAACAAGGGACTAATTTAAGCAAATTCCATCCCGAAAAGTAAACGAGGGACTAAAAGCTGACATGGCAAGTGGGCTTGATTAATTTATCTTATCCCATCCTGCAAAGTAAACGAGCCCTTAAAAAATAAACAAAACCAAATTATTTACAAATGAGTTTTGAAAAAAAATAAACAAAACCAAATTACTCACTTGCCAAATCAGTTCACAAGCATTTGCTCCAGAAGGCCACCGCTTTCGCATACTCATTCCCATCGGCCATCTCATCTCGGCATCTCCCCACCGGCCACCGCTTCCCGCTGCCCTCACTCGCGGCCGCCTCTGATTTCTGGCTGCTCCGGACGGCCACGACAACAGTTGCTCCAGAAGGCCAAGGCCACATAATACACTGTAAGCCATTTTCTTCTTGTAATCTTGTTTGATTTTATCAAGGTAACTGTTGAAGGGACGAAAAATGGGGGTATTGGTAGTAAGGGCGCAGAGGTAGTGAAAATTGGGGCCGAAAAAAGAGTAGCAACTGTGTGGTCAGTGGATGGGCCGAAAGGGTGATCTCTGTTCCCTGTTGCCCGTCTGGGGGCGTCGCCGCCTCGTGCTGCGTGCCGGGGATTCGGGCCTGAGGGTGATGATGAGGGACTGAGGGTAATCGGGTGAGATTCGGGTAAGCGGGTAAAAATAACCCGATCGACTGCAACAATTCGGGTACCCGGTTACCTGATGGGTACCCAACTACTCGACGGTAAAACCCAACCCAAACCTGGTGCAGTGGTGCTGGATAATCGGATAGCGGCCGGGTACGGGTGCATTTTTAGCAGGCGGGTTGGGTACGGTCATGCCAAAACCCGCACCCGGCCCGACCCATTTACATCCCTAGATATTCATACATTATCATATCTCAGCAGCTAGGCATGGCTATGGTGTATTTCCTTATTTTCCATGCATCATTTATTGCAATTTTCTTTGTTAAGTTAAATTACTTAAGCTATCCTAATCCTAATTTAAACCCTACTTCTACTTTAAACTTAAATCTCATTCGGATCAGCTAACAAAAGCAGGTTTCTTCCACTTCATTTAAAACACTTCATCCCCACTTATTCCAAAACCTCACGCCAAGCAAATTTGCATTCTGTGAAATTCTCACTCTTTGCTAGAGTTGAACATTAATGCTTTTCCAGTGGATGCTTAATCCGGCGTCACCAATGGCGGTGGTTTGGGGTCTGAGGGCGGTGTGGGTTGCGGCAATTTCACCGATCGCGATTGCATCCTTTCCATCATCCAAAGTCGGCATTTTTCATCAGTTATTTCTTAAGCTCAGTGGACGGGGCAAGACTATGGACGCATCCTCTAAAGTAAATATATTTGTATTTTGAAAAAATAAAATAAAATAAAGTAATTTGCCCCCTTTAATCTGTGATTAAATTATGCTTATGCGATGTGAAGCGAGATCAGTTGAGTTGATTCAGTGAATTATTGCGTGTATGTTTGTTTTTCATTCTCTGTTTTCTTTTGCAGTTAGCTGTTTTTGTTTTCCGCAGTTGAGTTACTATGTTTCTCTAGGGTTCCAGTGGATCTTAGGAATGTTGGAGGAAAGAGTTGAACATTTTCTTTTATGTTTTCAGCTAATTGAGCAATTTATGTTCTGATTTCTTACTGTAAAATACCAATTGGGTCTCGTGGAGGGATGAACTCGGGAGTATAGTAGCTGACTAATGTGATTGTCATAAACAAGAAAGAGTATATAGCTATTTGACTCTATAAACAGGAAAGAGTATATTGTTATTACTCTATATAGCTGACTAGTGTGATTGTCATAAACTCCTGAGCAGCATTTTGTTGCCTATTGCATGAAACTAGGCCACATTAAGGGTTAATATTTAATAATATTGTTTTAACAGCTTTTTAATTAGCTTGTTATGTGATTTTACAACAGAAAAATGATCAATAGTATGTATATTGGGTGCGCGAGGTCTTTCACTTTCATCTATAATGGCACAATTTTACCAGCTTTTCGGTTACATGTTGCCTCCTTGTAATGCAGAGACTGAGTGTCCCCCAGAAATTCTTTGGTCACTTTTACATACTCGCAGTTGTATGGACAACTTTTCTGCTTGTAGCCACGTGGCTATATGCTCACAAGACAGCTCCAAGAGTTACTGAGCATGTGCTGTTTTCGAGCATAACTAGCCATTTGACTGGGATTTCGCACGAGTTGTTCTCGCGAAACTCTCATTCATCACTGAACAACAAATACGGGCTCTGGAAATCTGTGTTTCTGCTTTTGTTGATGGAAATTCAAGTATTGCGACGCCTTTTCGAGACTATATACGTATTCAAGTATAGCCCCTCAGCTCGGATGCATATTGGTGCCTATCTCACTGGACTAATGTAAGTGTTGTATTGGATTGCACATGTTTGTGTTACTTTTTGTATGAGATCATAAAGTTGATTCATAATGCATTTTTGTTGTGTGGTGACTGCAATTTTCTGATTTTTGTTGCTAGCAATATGAGTGACTGATATGAAGCAGTAATCCTTGCTTGAGTATATGGGACATCTTTATGTTTATTGACTTGGGTAAAGATTATATAGTTAATATACTATTTCGTGTCTCTTGAAAAATTATGTCGATTGTTGAACAACATTAAGTACCCATTTGAACTGAAAAAATTAAAATACAAGGGTATAATTAATATTCCATTCGTTCTGATCACTTATCATTCTTGAAAACAGTTTCTATATAGCAGCTCCACTATCCCTCTGCTCCTCTTATGCTTTGGAGGTATTCAAATTTGTGGTGAATGTGTTCACAGAATTTGTTGTTAAGGGGAAGGATAGAATGAAATTCACAGAATTTGATATGTGGGACCTTGTGAGTCCGCTTATGCAGCTCAAATGGTACACGTGGGTTGGTGCAGCTATATTCTCCTGGGGTTGGATTCATCAACGCCGTTGCCATGCCATTCTTGTAAGTCCTATACTTTTATATACTATAAACCACTGCAGTTTTTTTTCATTCTCTATGTCCTTATACATGGGTGTTAACAAAGAGATATAATTATTCATTCGACGTGGAAAGCACGGTGGATTAATTACACTCTATGCAAGCAGCAATTGCATAAATTTGTACCTGCTTAACATCAGTTCGTTTGAATCCTGAATGGGTGTAATTTTACAAGTGTATATGAATGTGTAACTTTGTTTCTTGTTTTTTTTTTCCCGCAAAATGAATATATGATCTGCTAGGCATAAGTTTTGGTCCAAAAACTCATGAGGCTCCATCTTGTTGAAACTTCAAAAGTAACACTGGAATTAATGGTGGTTCGCATTCGCCAGTGAATGTCAGCAAGTTATATGATTTATTTTGTGTTGCATCATAATAATTTCTCATGTTCTAAGTTGGGATAGAGGTGATGATTGATAGTTATACATAGCTTTGGACCACTTGGATTGAGTGCCAATTCGTTTGAGATACCTTTTACTGCTACTTTATTCCATATATCATTAGTAGTTCACTTTAATCTTTGTATTCTTGATTCTTGAAATTATCAGGGATCTTTGAGGGAAAATGACCAAAAGGTCAACGATTATGAAATTCCACGTGGCGACTGGTTTGAATATGTTTCCTCTCCACATTATCTTGCAGAAATTGTGAGTCATTTTGATATTCATCTACCTCTTTGGTAGCACTTCCTAGTAATTAATTTAAAAGTTTGCCCTTGGAGTTATTACGTTCTTACTTTTTACCTTTATTTGTGAAGGTCATATATGGCGGGCTCGTGATTGCTAGTGGATTTTTTGATATCACGATGTGGTTACTCTTTGGATTTGTGGTGCGTCTTGATTTCAAAANAAAAAAAAAAAAAAAAAAACAAACAAACAAACTAGCTGGATTATTTTTCGATTGTTTCTCTAAGACATTATATGATTGCAGGTTGCAAATCTTGCCTTTGCTGCTGCCGATACACATAGATGGTACCTTCGTAAATTTGACAACTACCCTAAAAACCGTCGAGCAATTATCCCATTTGTGTACTAATTACTAAACATTGGTGAGATATTTTAAATATTGAGCAAGAGTAGGTGTGTTGTTGAGTGTAATTATGTGGACTTGAGAATTGTGCACGAGGTCCCCTGATATTGTAATACATTATCTACATTTATACGTTTTAAGGGTTTTGGACAATATTTTTCACATAGTTGTGTTACTTGCAGACTGGCAAGTAATTAAGCATGGTTAATCATCACTAAGACTTCAGTAATATTAATTTTGAAAAATTCTTTTCTTGCAACTGAAACCAGTTGGATATATGGTTATCTACATTTCGTAAGGAACAATGAACCGGGCACAGTCTGGTCTTTAGCTGCCTCATGATTTTCCTCTGCATCTATAAGAGGAAAATCCTCCCATACAGTGAACTCTGTGGCTGATGATGACGATGATGATGTGGCAATTTTTACCAATTACGTTATTTTTACACTACATACAATTTTTTATACTATTTAAAATTTCTTATAGGACTAGATCGGAGAAGATGAGGTTTCAGCCCATTGAAGGTTTCTAAAAATATTAAAATAGCGAAAGGGTAGGTGACACTTCTAGTGCAAAGTGCAACCTAATGGAGTTTCTAGATAATGAGCCTGGAATTACTGCTCAATAAGCCACTGCCTTGAATGGAAAGGTAAAGGTCGACAAGCATGACAATAAAATGAAGATAATTTCAATACAGGTTATAACTATTAGATCATTTCTTATAATAGGGTATTATTTGAATTGAATTTTTAATAAGTAGTTTGATTGAATAATGTTGGCATATGCCAATTAAGCTTGCTTTTAATACTTTTATTAAATTTGGATATTAGTTTGTTTTTGAAATTTGAAAGTTGATGTCTATGCAGTTTATGAACTATGGTTTGTGGAAAATAAATATTATTTATGGTTTATATTTATTTGACTCGCATTATACAGTTGGACTATTACTTTATTTTTTAAATTTAGTCATTTATTAATTTGGACAAGATGTCTATGCAGATTATGGATTTTTGTTTCTAAGCAATAAAATAGTTTTAACTTATTTACGAATACATATAAATATATGTATATCATATAATTAGAACTAGTGCGTGGCCCGTGCGATGCACGGGGAAACAATATTACGATTGTATTATAAATTATATATATATATATATATAACATTAATCATGATTTACCTATTGTTTTTAAATTAAATCGGGTTAGACACAGTCCGGGCGGATGGACCGAGAATCGATTTATAACCAGTCTAGTTGCTTGAATAAAATATTAGCTATCGAATCTGTCAACACCAGTCGTTTTGACTGGTAGGATCGATATCGATTTTCTAAATAAATTTGGTTACATTTAAAATTATATAAAATTACATATTTAAATAAAATGGAGATTTGTAAACTCTTTATCAATAGTTTAAACATTTGAATTTATAAATTGTTTAGATATTTAAGTATCACCTTTTCTTAAAATTTATTACAAAAAGTATTATATATATAAAAATGTTTATAAATTAAAATCTGAATAGACCACAAATAATTTAATAAACTAACTTAATCTTTTCGATGAGTTATATATATTAAAATGTTTATAAATTAAAATTTGAACAGAGCACAAATAATTTAATAAAATAACTTGATCGTTTCGATGACGGTCCGGTTCTGAAAACCTTATATTTCTTGTACATTAATAAAAATTATAATAAAATATTATTTTATTCACAAAATAATTAATAAAATGATATATAAATATTTATAAATTATTAAACATGTTGTCATAAAAATATTGTTAATATGATTATTTAAAGTTTGGACTACATCACATTCAAGTAATAAAGTATTTTTAATATTAAAATTTATATTTAGGTTCAATAATCGAATTGGTCTGATCAAACAGATAGATAACTTAGTCACTTTAAGACCAATCAAGTTGTGTCAATTTTTTTGACTATTTTAAATATCACCTAAAAGTAAAACAATCAACTTGGACAATACCTAATTTAATCATCTGATTGATCCAAAGAAATTTCCTTATATTTTTTTGATATATTTAATTTTATGAAATAAAAATATTTTATGATTCATATAATAATTGTCTACACCAAATGATAGTACATTACGATTATAAATTATATATCTAAAGATGAATTAATTATTTTTACTTTATGAATATTAATAAAAAGTACCTCTCCTTTTAGTCGAGCATCTGTTATGACCTTTCGCGTTGAGCTCGACTTTAAGGAGAGGAAAGACCCGAAGTTAATTAGTTTTACTTTATGCATATTAATAAAAAAAATAAACATAGTAATTTAAAAAAAAAATAAGATCAATTGATTGATTGTGCAATTTAAAGAATATGTGTATTTTCAAGGAATAAATTTCTTCATATAAGGGATTTTATTTCTTTAAACTATCCAAATTCATATTCATATCGGCAATTTGAAATTTTGATTTACAATAGAACATGACACTATGCATACTAAATATCTTTTAACAAATAAATCAGATTCAATTTAAGATTTATTAGTTTTAAAAATAATAAAATCATTAATTTAGGCAGTGATATGTGATACATATATCTAAGTCTATTTACATAACATTTTACCATTAAACCATTGGCAATTTAAATAAGAAGACTAAAATATTTCTGTGATTTAAACATAGAAAATAAAAATTAATTTAACAAATTACGTGGTCATTAATTTAACAAATTTCAAATGATGTTGTCTGTGTTTTTAAATTAAAAATTAAAAAAAATTACCATTAATAGAAAGTAATTAATACTAAGCATCTTTGACCATAGAATTGACCTGCCATTTTTTAAAAATGTTAATTCTTATTATATATATATAGTAATAACACGTTAACATACATATATCATTGAACAGAAGTTAACATAAATATAACACTGAACAACCGCATGTAGTTTGTTTTTTATTTTTTTTTTCAAAAAAAAAAAAGATTTGTACTATATGCATTAACCTAAATAAGCATAAATTGAATCTATATAGTTGTAGACCGACACATATGCATATAACAAAACTATTACCGTTTAAATAATTTATATACTTATCCTTTTTAAAAATAAATTTTTAATATGTCTAAAATTTTAAGTTAAAATTGTAAAATATACCTTGATATATTTAATACAAATATTTCACAGTTACTTTTAATAAAATTGAACAAATAAATAATCAGGATGATAAGTGAAATGAGTTGAAATATTAATTTGTTAAGACGACGAATTACCTAAGAATTAAATTAATAACGTTGTGTACAATGAGGTTTTCAATAATATTTTTTTTTTTCTCGAACCTTTTATAATTGGATAACTGTCATGTGTATAATCACTTTTATTATCAAATAACCTGCAATTTATAAAAACTCAAAAATAAATACAGTTCGTACATCACACGAGTTGCACACTAATTATGCTTAACGGAAAGAAAAAGTTTGACAACAATGTTATTGAACTGTCTTTATTTCTTACTGATTTATTAAGTATCTAAATAACAAGAACTATTAATTATTATTTTATTCGAAATATAATAACTGTTTAGCTTTTCATCATCTTTTTCATACTAAATATGTTAGTAATGAGAAAAAATGCCATAAATTTGTATTCATATCTATATATTATTAAATATTATATAAGCATACAAAGAATTTTTTTCGTCTATTTTACTATTAAAACTAAGAATTTTTTTCATCTATTTTACTATTAAATAAATAAAGGTTATGATTATATATAAATATTAATATCTATATACGGCAGTTTGTCAATATTTTACGGATAAAACACCACATTAATATTTCTGTTGTGACTATTAAATTTAACGCTGATATTGTGTATATACAACCAAAAATTTATATTTTTATATTTATATGAATGGCTTTTCCATAACTTATTCGGATATTGTATAACATAATTAGCTTTTAATGTCTAATATACTATTTTAATTTTCTTTTGAAAGAGAGCTCTTATCGTTTTACTAAAGTATTTTTTCAAAATAAATGAAAACATATAAATATCATGTATTCTTTTGTGTTTGAATGATATCTTATTATTTATTTATTTATTTATTTTTTTTGCCAAAAAATAAAATAAAGTTTTTTATTAAAAACTTTCCGCATGTGCGTTTGAGAGACTACATTGTTATTATAGTGAATACAACGTGGCGATATATATAGTAAAGTTTTTAAAACAAATAGAAATGTGTTACATAAAGCTTTTAGCTAAAAGACTTGTAGTTTTTAAAAAGTAACATTAGAATAATCTGTAACTTACCAACAATTGAAAGTAAATCATTACCAATTTTAAGTGGTAATTTTTAAAATAATTAACAAAAATAAAAAATAAAATTATTAAGCAGATAAGATGGGGTCGAAACATTGACACCATCTAATATTGCGTAAAAAGAATATGTTCACAAACTAATAATTTATTTGAATGTTCTTTTATACTGAATTTAAACTTTATTTATGTAAGTATAATCAATAAAAATCACTTGTGCATGCGCAAAATTAAAGGATACTTGTACCAAAAAAAAAATAAAATAATAAAAATTAAAGGATACTGGTAATATTTTAAAGTATAAAAGTATTTATGAAATTGTTAATGGATTATGAATGTCGAACTAACATATCACCTATTGTAGCAATAAAATGAAATATTGTTTACCGATAATGTGGATTAATGAAACCATTATATTCACCCTGGACAGCACACCNTATCTATCGAAATTGTTATACCATTTTATTTATTTCTCAATGACGCTCTCTTTGTTTCTCTCTACTTTTTTTTAAAAAAAATATTTTTCTTTTTCACTTCAAGTTTTCAATTTACTCATTTATTTTCCAGACATCGAAAAACCAAATATTCAAGAATCTTGATTTTAACGGTTCCTTTTCGCCTCTCTGCGTGCAAGCCCACATTTAAACGGCGTATATATATATAACACGTTTTGAACCAGAAACAGAAACCCCACATTTTCCCACTCAGATTCAAATTTGATCACAGAGAGAGAGAGAGAGAGCGTGAGAACTCCTTCAAGATGGCCGGAGATGACGATGACCCCAGCCATCACCGGCCGACGCCGCCTTCTTTCCCCGGGTCTATGAACCTGCCCGAGAATCTTGGCCAGTGGCTGGCCACAATCGTCCAACAGATACCAGATGACGATTACCAAACATTCTCACATCTCATGGACGACAACTTCCGCTACATGTCAGACCACTACGTCAGCGCCGATCAACTCCGTCCAACCCCTGTAGACGCCGGAGAACGACACCAATGTCAAGAAGACGACCGGCCCAAAGAACCCAACTCCGAGCCCGGCCCGGAATTCGTCCCCGACGCCAAACCCAAGATATCCACTGACAAGGCGGACGAAGAGGACGTTCAGGAAGTGAAATCCGTCCCTGATGTCGCCAGAAAACAACAAAAGCGTGAAGAGGACGACCGGCCACAAGAATCCAACTCCGAGCCCGGCCCGAAATCCGTCCCCGATGCCAAACCCGAGATACCCACTGTTGAGGCGGACGGAAAAGACGCCCAGGGAATGAAACCCGCTCAGTACGGCGCCGGAGAACAACAAAAGCGTGAATTGGAAGACCGGCCACAAGAGCCCAACTCCGAGCCCGGACCGAAATCCGTCCCCGATGCCAAATCCGAGACACCCACAGTTGAGGCGGACGGAAAAGGAACCCAGGGAATGAAGCCCGCTCAGGACGGCGCCGGAGAAAAACAACAGAGGCAAGAAGACAAGCGGCCCGAAGACCTCATCCGCGAGCCCGGCCCGGAACCCATTCACGATGCCAAACCCAAGACACCCACTGTTGAGGCGGACGGAGGAGATGCCCAGGGAAGGAAATCCGCCCAGAATATTGCCGGAGAAAACCCACAGAGCCAAGAAGGCGGGCAGCCCGAAGAATCCAACCCAGAGCCCGGCCCGAATGCCAAAACCCTGATACCAACTACAGGGGAGGTGGACGAACAAGAATTGGAGCCAATTTCTGAAGATAGCGAGGCTGTCAAAGTAAGTGCTGCAGCGGAAGCTAAAAGGATGAAGAATAAAAAGAACAAACAGAGGAAGCAGAAAAAGAAGAAGGGAGGGCTGTGTGAAAAAGGTGATGAAGGCCCTGAGAGTATACCCAATTTCTGCCATGAAACCTGCAGTTGCGTGCCTATCAACATCATCTGCTTCATCCTGTTCCTCATCATTCTCTTGGATCAGGTCACCTTGTCCAATGATTGTTAGAGGACTCTGTTTTTTTCTATTTTTATCTTTTTTAATGTCTTTTTGCTTGATGAACATCAACATTGCTGCTGCTTGATGGATAGTGTTCTCTGGAATGTTTCTTATGGATTTCGTCTCGAAATGCTGCGTATTGTTGCCCCTTTGAGTATATTCTGGGATTTTTCTGGACTGAAAAATAGAGGAGGTATATTGAAGGTACATTGGGTGTTGAGCTTGAAGGGATTGGTTGTTAGTGTCTGTAGATGGATTTGTTTCTGTTGTTTTAAGGTTCTTATATTGAATTGAACATTGGTTTTTAATTGGTTTCTGGAGGTTCTTTTCTGCATGCATGATGATATATTTTGGGTTCTTCTATTTCATTTGTAGAATGTATACAAATTAATTAACCACTGGTTTTATGAGTTAGTTGTTGTAACTTTACTGTTTTAGTGCAGTGCATGTTGAAAAAAGTGTTATATCTAACAGTGTAATGGTCTAATTGGTCTGCATGCTTCTTATGACCCAAACTTTCATTAATTTGATTCAGCACNAGGAAAAAAAAAAAAAAAAGCAAATCTGTAAGCAAGTTGACTTATAATACAATTTATTATAAGTTGAACAGGTGTGAATAAAAGTTAGGTGGTAGCTAATTTTTACTCTCTAATTTTGATCTTTAATAAGTCTGGTCCAAGCTGATATGTTGCAATTTTTTTGTTTAAGGGAGTTGGGTTAATTATAATTTACATGTAGCGTGTGATTGGTTGTAATAATGGTATGGGCTTGATTATTTCCCATCTCCTGTATTTGCTTTATTCATCCATCCATTTATCCTATATAAACAGCCTAATGGGTCATTATTTTGAGGCCGACTTATATGTATAGCCCAAACTACTTCACCCCTTATGGCCCAACTCCAAATGAAGCCCTAATTTTTCTCTTCTATATATTTATAGCCGCACCAGTATACACCACGACCACGTTCTCCACAGAGGCCGTGCCGTCACCTTCAAATGCGATTTCCGATTTGTTCGCACCTGTATTTTAGTAATTACCTGTACTTTTTCTTATTGATAACTTTGTTAATCACTTTTGTTGCATTCATATCCTTTGCTATCTAATTTTTATCGTTTGAAAATGCTCTGCATCTTTCTATGATTTTGTCTCTCCGTTTCGATTCAAACAAAACGGCGGAGAAAATACGGATCGATGCTAAATCAGTTGTTTTTAACGAGGTGCTTATGGACACGCAGATCCCTTTTTTTTACCGTGGTTCCCTGCGTTTTCTCGTAGGTTCCACAATATTCATACCTCAATTCAATTAGTACTTGTTTGATATAGATTTATGTTATTTTGTTTTTTAATTGTGAATACTGCTTGCTCGATGATGATTGAATTGCTTTAACCACACTGAAAAAGAGGCTTTGGGTCTGCACAATCTTTGAATTGATTTTAGGCTTGAGGAAGTTTTTTGCTGTTTCACTTTGGATTTGCTTTCCGGTGGCCTTATGAGTCTTTTTTCCACGGAGTTAAGATGAAGGCTCTGTAAAGCCGGTCGGAGGTGAAGGGCGAATTTTATGCTTCCTTGGGATTAAAATCATTTCGGGAATTACCCTTAGTTTTCTCATGTGGACAAACTTTGGCCTTTCGACTGAGAGCTAGTTCAGTTAATATTTTCGTTTTTACTTCTTTCTTGATTCTGTGTTTTGTTTTGTATCATCGGATTATTCTGAGTCTGGACATAATTGATTTTAGTAGAAGATTATTTATTTATATATTTGATTCGAGTTCATTGGTCAAAATTTTAAAGTTGTGTTTTTTGATTATCATTGTAGTTAAGAAAAATATATTCTTGGAAAATTAAATTACAACATCTCTCTCTACGTAACTTTAAATACATGTTTCAGAAAGTAAATTAAGGATGTTTGATTTTTCTCTAAAAATTTAAGGAGATTTGGGCAGTATGGTGTTGAACAAGTGTTCCGCTAGCACGAGATTTGCAGCATCTGATGGGTGAAAAGAATCCCAAAACACATACTCACTGCGGTTGCTACATAGTTTTGAGTTAGGAAGACAAAGCCCTCCAAGTCTTGTATCTGTGTTGCAGCATGCTGTGTTTGAGACCTTAAAACCTGAAAATTGAAGGGTGAAAAAGTAAATACCGAATTTAAGGTGACTATGTTTGAGAGTGGTAGGTCTTGTGTTAGACAAGTCTAGTCATTGGATCCACATGCTTTTTTACAAAATATTTTGATTAGAAAATGTTATGCTTTAAAAAATAATATAAAATATTTTTTTACAAATATGCATACTTTGATTAGAAAATTTTATATTTTCAAAATATAAGTACACACTTGATTAGTTGATTGTATGAGCTTCAAAAGGTGACCGGTTAATCTGTCTACGGTTAAATTGCCATAGGTGTACTCCATTTGTTTACTTTTAAGTGTAGCTTTTGGTTTGAAATAATCATATAAAATCAAAGTAGTAGTATATTTTAGAATATTTGATAGAAGAGAAGATATAAAGTATTAAATTTCTTGTTCTTCCTGAAAAATGACATCTAATAGCAAGCAAACATAGGAGTATGAGGCTTAAATATTCCATCACCTGGAATCTTTCATTTTTGACATGAAGTAAGCGTTTAATCTTACCGTAAGAAGAAGGATTTTCAATTAAATCCAACACTGCTGGGTAAGTGTCAGCGAATATCAATTGTGAAGAAGGCAGCTGAGCATTTAGGGTAGAAATCAAGTTGTGAACTTTGGAGTTAAATTGCTGGGCCCACAGATTGACTTGGGCCAGGCATTGCCCTCGGCTCGATTTTGCCCTTTGGGAAGGAATGCATCCGAGTGGGCCGAGCCCATGGAACACCATCTTTCTCGCACCAAGTTGGTAAAGCCTCTAATGAAAACAAATGTGAAGAAATTTTTAGGTAGTGATTTAGGCTTCTAATACCCGGTGTAAAAATGAACTTAAACCACACACACACACACACACAAATATAGCTTTATACTACAATATTGACTTATGGTGAGACCTTTACCGTGATTTGTTCTCCTAAGGTTGAGATCAATAGCTCCACAAACTCATCATGAGTGTATTGTTGGCCATCTGGTAAAAATGGCTGTAGAAAATTGTTGACATAATCGTTGCTACCTGAACGTTGCAAGTGTTAAATTTGCAAGTGTTGAATAATTAAGCCGAAAAGGAACTGAAACATGGATGCTTTTGTTAGGGTAGCTAAACTTTATTAAGCTTGTTTGTGGATAATTGAATATTCACAACTTGTAACTGTGTTTGATAAGAGTACCTATTCCAATAAAATAAACAGCTCCATTGCAAAGCTTATTGGCTGCCTCATCTCCAATCTTATTCCTCATCCACTGCTTTGTAGTCCCGAAGTTCTTTATCTGATCATCAAACGACAACCTCTCTATCTGTTGTCAAATTAAATAAACAACCGATCAAAATAAGGATTAAATTTGATCTAACAGATAATACAAATAAATTAATTGTCTGTCACATATATATATATATACAAAGTAAAGCCCTGTCTCGTTGAGAATTCCAGCTCCACCGGACGCGTAATTCACTCCTTTGAAAATCGCATCATCTGCTGGCGACAAGGACAAATATGGAGGTGGGGACGAAATCCCGAGCTTGGCGGCTGGTATTTATTTTCACAAGTAAATTCAAGAAAATATTATATAAATAAAACAAATATATGAAAAATATGAATTTTATAAATGTTACATATAATGTCGCCTATAGTTCTCCCATTGGTGAATCTCCCGGTGGGTTTCCCGCCACTAAAATCGACTCCATAATGTGGGTAGTTCGACTTTGCAAGTGAGAGTTGGAGGTAATTGTTGTTCCCAACTTCGGTTAACGAGTCACCAAATACGAACGTGACTAGCGATGATGCTGATGAACGAACACTGATGATCATGGCTATGGCAACCAAGAAAGTGAGGTATTTTTTCATTATTATCGATTTTGTAGGTTTTTGGTGTTGGATTTGGTACATATAATGATACACTTTGATTTTATAGTGCTGGTAGAGATGTTGCTCAAGAACTTTTTTTCTGCTAGTCTTTGCCAAGTTCAACAAGTTTCACTTATATATAATATTTGTGCTGATTAGAAAGCAAAATCCTGAATTCCTGATTAGTGTTAAATGGCATGTGGGACTAAACATATTGTCTCCTTTTTTTAATATGACAAATGGTTTTTTTTCTTGAATATATATGCATTTGCTTAATTCTAGCATCATGGTAGTTGGACTTGGACAATTCTCTTGAGATTGTTGGCCAAACCCACTCACTATATATGTAGCGTATAAAAATGAGTCATGGGAAAACATATGGGTAAAAATTAAAATTATTGATTTGTGAACATTATTCCGTTCGAAAACCTTCCGTCGGTCCTATTTCTTTTTCATCTTTTCAATCAATATGAGACACTGTAGAGCCATGAGAAATTTCGATGTAAACTAGTTTTAATCCAATTTATAGAAAATAGACGAAGTCAATTTAATTATATTAAGCATTACATAAAGTTTAAATTTAATAATATAAATAAAAATTAAAATAAAGTATTTTTTATTACAAAAATTTAATTGTACACAACATTCCATATATGTCAATCTTCGGTCCCTTCTATATAAAAATATCTATATCCTTTTGATTGGTTATTTTTAAAATTATTAATACTGGTTATGATCAAATCCTTCAGTTACCAGTAAATTACATATTAAACTAATATATTATACTGACACACAACATAATGAAATAATTTACAACAAAATTATAAAGTTACATTTAAGAAATCAATTTTGTACATATCACTACTATTTATATGTGACATCTTTATCTGAATTTTTTTCTTTCTAGTTAATATCTTTAAGATTTTAATTTTTTTTTTCTAAAAAGAATAAAAAATGTATTCAGCTAAAGGCATACGCGATCTTCAAATATATATTTTTAAAATTTTTAAAAGCATTTAATAAAAAAGTAAGAGTTGTCATTCAATAAAAATATTGACATGGTATATCTGGACCATGTTACATTATTGGAACACTTGATAAGCCTTTGTTGTAGTTCAATCGAATAAAAAACATAAAACGCATATATACTTCACTTAGCCATATATTGAGGCTCATCACAATCCTTCTTCTCAACACTTAATTCCTTGCTCTTGCTAGTAGATCCTTTGTAAAAGGGCCCATTCCCAAGAGCTGATGAGCAATTCATAGCAGTATATCTGGTGAAGGGCCTCCCGACGTAATTTGATGCCACTTTCGAAATTCGGTTGATCTAAATATATTTAAGAAAATAAGGGTTACAGTCACAATACAAACTAATAAAACTAGTATCAACTATTTAACTCAAAGCCGAATAGAAAAAAAAAAAAATATAACTTCATAAGTTTGTGTAAGTAAATTGATGTATTAATTACCTCTTCCCTAAGCTTAGCATTCTCAACTCGCAGGTGACAATCATCAAATAACACGTCCCCAGTTGCTGCCATGCGACCACACGCAGGGCAGCACGCGTTGCTTAGGGCTTCCTTGTATTGTTTGTTCTCAATACCGAGTCTCTCGTTTTCAGCCCTAAGACGAGCATTTTCTTCTTGGTGATGTTTCGTCTGCCAATATAAATGATCAAGAATTATGGAAAGTTTATTCTAGGATTAGAAATCATGTGCACAATTCTTGCTCAAGATTACTCTCAAGAAAATTCATTTCAATGAGCTTATATGCTAATGTTTAACAATGATAACTTTGAAATAATATAGTAAAGAATGTAATAAGTAAAATAATAATACAACAACATCAACAATATCATATAATAATTCTAATAGAAAGAGTCGTGACATTAATAATAATTGTAATAAATAACAACAAGAACAAGAATAATGAACATCCGATTTATATACCTTCATTTGTGTTCGTTTATTCTGGAACCAAAATTTTACTTGTGAAGGTTCCATCTCGAGTTCTTTGCTTAGCTCATCCCTTTGGTTGTTATCAGGGTGGGGATACTCCCTGAAAAATCTACAATCAACANAGAATAATAATCTGGAATATGCAATATAAGTTGAAAAATAAAAAGGAGATGTATATTTGTTGGCCTTGAATATATCACTTTTAACTATTTGAAAATTTAACTTGATTTAAAACTATACCCTTCCATAGCTTGGATTTGTTGTGGTGTGTGGCGGTTGTACCGCCTTCTCTTTGGTCGATTTTGAGTCATCTCTATATTTTTGCCGCCAGATTTGTTTTCGATATCTTCATCTACTTCTATGGGCACTTGATCATCTCCTGACATGTTTGCTGAGTTTATACTTGATAGGTTTCCTGTGGAAGAAGATACAATTTAATTATCATTCATCTACTTTATCTTGATGATTGATTTGTTTGATTTCGAATAAGAAAAAACTAATCAAATTGATATAAGAAAATTAGGATTGACGAATTATTTATTTTAGTAAACTTAAATTGCTAAAACAGGTTATTTTTTTTCTGTTTTTGTGAGCTGCATAAGCCATTGCTTCATCACAGTTCACAGAACTCAATTTTTATCCAAGGAACTAATTATGAATGTTCTAAAGACAAAGTAGTGTAAAATCTTTATCCATCCAAAACTAACATATGCATCAAAATAAACTCTTTCCAATCCTTTCGAACGAATGAAACTAAAAATAAAAGAAATAAATTTAAAAACAATTGTGATTATAAAGAAACTTACTCATAATGAAAGGTTTCGTTTGTGATACCGCTTTGTCGAGATCTAAGGCGCTTCAAAAGGTGACATAGTGAAGAAACATTTGCTATGTTGGTATGAAAGTGATGAACGGAGGCCAAAGGCAGAGGAAAATTTGGAGTGAGAATTTACTAACAAATAAGTACACTTAAATAGAGCTAAACATTGTAATATGGAAAATAAAGAAAATATGGAAGAAAGTGAAATAAATTTTATTTTATTTTTTCAATTAAACAAACCAAGAAACAATGCAAAAATTAAGGGCCGCGATCACTTTATATTTACTCATGACAATTGCTCATTTACTAAAGGAAAAAAAGAAGACAAAAAGCTTCATGATAGACTTGATAGCACAATGTAAAAGTATGGGATGAAATGCATAACAAAATCTTGTTGTAGTAATGGACAACTTTTTACAATATATATAAATTATGAAAATTTGTTCTGCTTATAAATGGCGTATTTGGAACTGATTTCCAATTGTTATTTTACAGAATTTATGACAATAGGATTCTCAAAATCTATTAAAACATAATGCTTTTACTGTCGTATTACATATTCATCATATCTCGAATCCTATTATAAGAACACGTTTTGGCACAAAATAAATGTTGTCGGGTATGTGTGCGCGTGCGCACAAGTATGTGTGTGCATGCGCGTGTACTTGTACTATCGCATTACATATTCTTTATATTTCGAATCCTATTATAAGAGTCTGTATTGGCAAAGATTAAATGATACCAGGTATACACTAAGAGTAAGATTAAAAAAATTTGGAGATTTTAACATAACATATATGTGAGAATATAACTTATTTCAATTATTCTGAGGTTTCGGTGATTTGTTTACATATATATAGTGATAACAAATGAAGTAACAATATACAGTTGTTTGCAGGCATGTAACCAGTATTTGACAGTAGAGATTCAGAGAGTGTATCTTTGTTTCAGGTGGCTTATAGGCCGAAGTCCTGTTTGCCCCTGTTTCACAATTAAGCTAAGCATGAAATTACTTAATACAAGTGAAAAACACAAAAATATGGAGGAAATAGAATATATTTGATTTCAATATATAAAAAGTTGTATAATAGTAATTTGCAACCACGAACATATAAAGATTTTATGTTTTTGGAAAATTTTTTTATAAGTCCTAAACTACGTTGATTTAAACACTTTGATATAAGAAATTAAAAAGTTCACAAGTTGTTACTCAAGATATATGAAATTGACAATGTCTCCTGAAATTTTAAACCTTAAAAATGACACAATAACTTTCTAGCTCAATTAACTATTAATTTTGAATCAATCTTTAAATTATCGTGGGTACATTGTGGTGTTTAGGTTCCCTTCGAGGTGTGATCTCACTATATTCAGCTTCTGGCCGAGTTCTAGATGTAATTATATGTTTCTAGTTATAAGATTCCTATCGTTGCGAAAAAAAAAATGATTTAGTGTTTTTAATTAAGACCAACAAATTAAGTCATTATTTATCATTTTGACAAGTTATTCGTGTAATTGACCAACGAAAAAAATAGGAACTCTTGTGCACAAAAAGAACTCCACGTTTTGAATTTTTTATGATCAAAATATCTGTTTTCTATTTGAAGATAACATCTGAAAACTTACATTACAAGTGCTTTAATGTGTTAGGCTTTTTGGTATAGATTCAAATAGATGACTGCTTGACTTATTTTTACTATAATTATGTGCTTTAATTTCCAAAAAGAAAAAATAACAATTAGGCTTTATGTAAATCAAATGTTGACCCANTGATAACCCAAAAAAGTAGATGCTTCGTAAAAAAAAAAACGAGTTGGGCTTTATGCAAATCAAATGTTGAGATTTTGATAACCCAAAAAAGTAGATGCTTCGTAAAAAAAAAAACGAGTTGGGCTTTATGCAAATCAAATGTTGAGATTTTGATTAGTAGCCCAAAAAGTAGATGCTTGTTAATTTATAAGACTAAACAATATTTTAAAAGTAGCTATGGACTCTTAGGCGGCAAGGGCGAAACTAGGAAATTAATTGAGAGGGGGCAAAAGATATGACAAAAAACTTGGGGGTGCAAAAAATAATTTAAGAGAGGGGCAAATTAAAAATTTTAGTTATAATAGTAAAAAAAATTAAAATTTAGTGATACATGTAGTTTCGCCTCTGCTAGGCGGTGAGCTGGGGCTTAATGCCTCGGGACGATTAAGAGGCTCCTATTGTTGGTTTGGGTATTCTGGGATAACTGTCTACTATGGAATCGAGTTGAACCATATAGAGGTTCCTAGATGGTTTGTCTAGTGCATTAGGTGATGAGGTCGAGGAGGGAGTTTAAGTTGACAAAAGAGCAGCCGGAAGTCGACAACGAAATAAATGTATGAAGTCTCGATAAAAAAAAAAGAAATTTTTTTTTGCTAGAGATTACAAAAATTAAAGAGGATAGTAAGAAAAAAGGATTTAGAGGGTGATATACATATCCATAGCGGTTGTTAGAGGTGTTAGAAAGATCATTGAAAAGCAGGGAGGAAACGGCCGGAGATGCGAGAATGCAGCGATGAGGTTCCTTAATAAAAAGGTTAAAGAAATAGTGAGAGTGGTAGAAATTGTAAATGAAGGATTAGCATGTTTTTATAGTTTCGGCCTAGCATGATCTCAGAGGTCGGTTGTTTAGAGCCGTCGATATGGTGGAGAATGAGCGGCCCTGATATACGATGGCCAGATGGATGGACAAGTGTTGAAAGGTCGGTTCGTATTGATCGGATCAGGAGATCAACAGTCATAAGAGAATGTATTTTAGGGTTTCAAGGCGTCCCTGACAGGCGCGATGGGCTAGATGATACAACACTAATGATAGCTCGGTAAACTAGCCTAGGCAGTTAACTCGGGTGCAACTGGTTCAGAAGAGCCTTAGCTCGATGTCAGCGCTTGACCACGTTAGGAAGCTCGGTGTAGTAGCTCAAGGTAGGACCATGGGAGTCGACATGAACAAAGAAGTGAAGAGTTGAGCTCCTCATGGAGCTCGGATGAATGAGGGGTCATTACGACCAAAGGTCGTCTAATGAAGGTCATGTTTTTGACCTGGTAAGAGCATGTGGTTGTCGGGTCACAAGGTCACTATGATGACGTAAGGACATAAGAGTCGGGATAGAGAAGAAACATAATCCTAGTGAGGATTTAAGTGCATCTCGATGAGGAGTCAAGGGTCTCAGAGGCATGTTATGCAAGGAAACGAGATACGATAGAATCTCTTTTCTAGTAAGGAGACTATTTGGGCATGAAGACATCCTCACTCTAAAAGGAGGTCAACATGTTCTGTTATAAATTTAATGCACACTTTCGCATACAATTTTTATAAATCCACGAGCGAGATTAACTTGAGCGTCGGAGGTTTTCCACCGAGATCCCTCCGAAGCGTATTTTGTAGGTCATCAAAACTCAAGACAAAGGGAGGTTCATGGTTGTATTGGTATAAATCTGGATTGGAAGCAATTTGCACATCTATCATTATATAAAAAGAATAATCTTTTTATAAATTTAGAAATTTTTTCCTGCCAAAATCATTAAACATATCCTATATATCGTAATTGTTGGACAAATCTGAATAGGCAAAAAAATCGGCTTATTAATTGTGTAAAGATTTGTTTCTCTTTTTCCTTTTTTTAGTTTATCAAAACCGTTGTTTTGATAATAAATATTTTTTTATTTTTTTCTATATTTAGTATAAATCTACACGAACTTATCTCTTATGTTACAAAATCCCATTACATACGTCTCACGTGTTTAAAAAATCTCATCCCTTATCTATACAAATTTGAAAAAATAAAATAAAATAGAAACCAATTCATAATTATTACTAGAAATCCATTATCATAAAAAAAAAAAATAAAAATAAAATAGAAACCAATTCATAATTACTAATAGAAATCCATTATCTACTTTAAGAAGCTAATTTTCATCGGTCTAATTACTAATATTTTTACAAATATTATAAGCTAACCATACAAAAAAGTATAATAATAATTTTGAAATGGTGTGTAATCAAATTTTTTTATATTCTCTTATACAAAATAATTTGACATTGTTTGACCCTGAATCTTTAATTTATAATTATTAAGTATTGTTTATCCTCCTCTTTAATTTATAATTATTATTTTTTCTTCTTTTTAAATACGATCAATAGTAGTTTCCACTTCCGCCATTGAGTAACTCAAACTCGAGGTCTATTTATATTATTGTTTATTTAATATTGTTATCGTGCATCGCACGAGGTACATACTAGTCAAATATAATGATCTATATGTAAGTTAAATATTTTGTGTTTATATCATTCAGTTTTACCAATAATAACATTTATAAAACGCGATATACTCATTATGTAACTTATCATTTTAAATATTATATACGCACATCTAACGTACAAAATTTATTTTGCATTTGTGCATGTGTACAAGATCGAATATTAGTAAATTAAAAAAAAAAGTGAAAACATTTCATAATTTGGTTATAAAATTAAAAAGTCTTTTTATAGTAAAAAAAAATGAAAATTTTATGATTCTTGTCCTTTCTAAGAACTTCGATTTGACCTTCTCCAGTCCACTTCCAAGTCTAGAGACCACTTCATCTGTAGCAAAATTTAAAATATTCAGAACCACTATGGCGTCTTCTTTTCTTTTCGTCCTTTTCAATTTAATAGTATTTTCAGCTCGCTTAATCTCAGAAGCACCAAGATCACCTAGGAAGCTTCCAGCACTGCCCCACCTACCGCACTACTAAGTGCCCACAGCCACGCCAAATCGCCATTGTTTTTCGCTCATCAATCCAATTGTCACCTTCAGCTTGTTCGATGAAATGTCCGTGGCCTGTGGGGTGGAGTGCGTGGTGGTCCTCGGCTGCCTGCGCTGGGCCTGGAAGCGCTGCACCTACATCGGCTCCTACGATAGCGCCGCCTGGCCCGACGCCACTGCCGACGAGTTCGACCCCATCCCTCGCGTCTGCCGCGTCATCCTAGCCGTCTACGAGCCCGACCTCAGCTCCCCTAAGTACGCCCCCGCCGGCGGCTACCGCCTCAATCCCGACTGGGTGGTCAAGCGCGTCACCTACGAGCAGACGCTCGGCCACGCGCCGCCCTACCTGATCTACCTCGACCACGACCACCGCGAGATTGTGCTCGCCATCCGCGGCCTGAACCTGGCCAAGGAGAGTGATTACAAGCTGCTGTTGGACAATAGGCTCGGCAAGCAGATGTTCGACGGCGGGTACGTGCACCACGGGCTGTTGAAGTCCGCAATTTGGGTGTTGAAATCCGAGTCGGGAACTCTGAAGAACCTGTGGGAGGAGAACGGGAGGGATTACAGGATGGTGTTCGCTGGGCACTCCCTTGGGTCCGGCGTGGCAGCTTTGATGAGCGTGATCGTGGCCAACCATGGGGATGAGTTGGGAGGGATTCCAAGGGGTTTGGTCAGGTGTTACGCAGTGGCCCCTGCCAGGTGTATGTCGCTCAACTTGGCAGTGAAGTACGCCGACATTATATGCTCTGTTGTTTTGCAGGTACACTTTTTTTTTTGGCTTTTGCTTTCTGTGTTAATTTTCCCTTGTTTACTTCATGGAGCATTGTTGTTGATACAGTGATGAGTTGTTGTGATGCTTTATTATGAATGGGTTACATTGGTGTTAAATAAGCGAACACTTCATTTGGTGGATCAATGAGTTATTTGCTCTTTCTGTTTCGTAAAAATTTGGATAGCTTTGTTTTTCTTTTCCGTGCATCCCCAAATTATTTGTGAGTTTGCTGATTAAAAGCATTGGTCTTATCTCTATTTTAGCTTGTTCATTTTGGCAGTGGCTTGATTTAGGTGGTGTTTATTATAAGAGGTAATGTAGGAATACCCCATACAAAATTATGTATCCGGCAATGATTGATATTCTTGGTTAGTGGAACACATGGAGTATTAGGAAACTTGGCCTCTCAACCACAGAACCACTCCACCAGCAAAAGAGCTAGTAAATTCGTAAATAAACAAGATAAGTGGCAGAATGGGGGAACTCTTCTTTGCCAGTTGGAAAACCATTTTGTTGAATTCTCATCTGTTGATTAAGTTCAGGTATCACAGTTTTATGTGGTGATCATTTCTTTCTTGTTTCCTATTCATCATTTTCCCATGTTCTGGACATTCGTGGCTGGTATACACTCGGGAAGAAAATGACTTTTACTTTCTGCTTCTTTTCCTTTCATTTTTCCCTTCTATGTCTGTTTTGATCAGCCATAACACAAGAGGTGACAGTTCAATCACAGGTTCTCCATTACAAATTTAGATATTTTGAAAACTGTGTATTTTGAGAGGGTGTATATTTAGTAAGGGCAATGCTACATATACAATTATAGTTGACAACGTTAATTGACAACATTAGTTAAAATTTTCATTGAGTCAAATCTTACCCATACATTTGTTTGCATCTTTGCCATCCACATCATGCCACATCATGTTGTCATGAAATGTTGTACCAAAAAAATGTACATGTAGCTCTTTCCATTTTGTAAACAAACGTTATGGACGCATACCTAAGATGAATGCATGAAAAACTAATGCAGGTCTTCTTGGAGATTTCCGATATTATGCATGGAATATGTGTAGAAAAATGCTAAAAAGTAACTAAAAAGTTTTAAAAAGTTGATTTCTCAAGTCCAATGTAAACGCACCATGATCTCAACAGAGCCATCCATGTATTTATAGATATCTCCTAGCCATCCATGTATTTATAGATATCTCCTGTGCATTTTCAGTCGCATTGGGTGCACAGTTTTTTTTATCGGAACTAAAAATTACCTTTAATAATCATTCCTTTATAACTTCAATTTATTCAGGATGATTTCTTGGCCAGAACAGCCACCCCATTGGAAGACATTTTCAGATCTATCTTCTGGTCAGTGATGATTAGCTAGTAATATGAAAATGAGATAAAGCTTTTACTTTGTCACATTTGTTCTTTGTCTTGCCTTATTGATGAGAATTTTTCACCATTCGTATAAACCAGGCTGTATTTTCTTTGCACAGTTTACCCTGCCTGCTGTTTCTGGTGTGTCTGAGAGACACCTTCATACCTGAAGATAGAAAGCTCAGGGATCCAAGAAGACTGTATGCTCCAGGTCGCATGTACCATATAGTGGAAAGAAAATTTTGCAGGTAAAGTTGCAACTGTGACAAAACTGTTAAGAGCATATAAATGCTAGATTTCAGAACTTAAGATATTAACTACGTAATCATTCATGCAAGGCATGTATTTTTGTTACACTTAGATTGGCTATGGAAGACCCAGGCTCCTGCCCGTTGGTTTTGTTTTTTTACGGGTAGCAAGGCGAGATAGGCTTCTCATGGGAAGTGTTTTAACCCTGCGACATAGAAGGAAAAGACCCTATAATTTTTTTTAAAATCTAAAACGGATCAGCCGACCCGGTCTAGGAATCTATTCTAACTCTCAACGACTTCATGCTAATATTGCTTGGTAGAAAACAGAGATCGCTGAGTTTTCTAATTGGAATTGAATGCCCTAAGTTCCATCCCCCATCCACGCCTTTGTTACCTAACCTTGCTTCTTTTTGTTATATTAAGTTCAGATGTGGTAGGTATCCTCCAGAAGTTAAAACAGCAATTCCAGTTGATGGGAGATTTGAGCATATTGTCCTCTCCTGCAATGCTACATCAGATCATGCTATTATTTGGATTGAAAGAGAAGCAGAGACGGCCTTGGAAGTAAGTAAAGGCGCCTTCTTAAATTTTTGCTCTCTATATATTCTTCTTGTTCTTCTATTTTGCACACTCCCTTCCCATGTCTCCAATTAAGTGTAAGATACTGGAATACTGTAGATGTCTGTAATTCAAATTGAAAGCTCTTCGGCATCTATTACAATAATTAGATATCTAGTAGTTGCACCTTCCAGTGCAGGCCTTGAATATGGATCAGGGAACATAATCATTTTTAAGTCGATCTTGAGCTTGATTACCAAAAAAGAACTACAGAAGAAAAAGAAAAGAAAAGAAAAAAGATAAAGGAAGAATGAGTTAACAGGCCATTAAGAGATCCTTGTTGACATTTCTTTCCAGTTTACAATGTTGCACCATTTAAGGGGATGTTTGTAGTTGTAGAAAACTTCAACATCAACAGGGTATTGGTATCTATAAATGGGGTACATACTAGTGAATTTTTGAATAATTTAGATATTTTTCTTATTTTCTTCGGTTGTTTTAACTAGGCTGACTGAGCGATAGTTCTGATCGCTATCACTTTGAAAATTGCCAAAATTATTCACAAAATTTCCTTTCCTTCTTCATTGAGTCCTTTCTTAAAAATTACATTCGTACTGCAGAATCTAAAGGAGCTTAGTACTATTACCACGCCTCCAGAAGTACAGAGACTCGATAGAAAGCAGACTCTAGAAAAGGAGCACAATGATGCATTAGAGAGAGCCGTCACCTTGAATATACCTTATGCTGTAAAGTCTGCTGAGAAAAATTCCTATGCTGACACCCAAGAAGGCTCTTCAGGGATGCATTCGTCGGGAAAAGATGGCAGGACCAATTGGGATGAAGTGGTTGAGAAGCTTTTCAAGAGAAGTGAATCTGGTAAGTTGCTTTTAAAAGGAAATGCAGCCTGATTATTTTTTCACTGCATTATATGTATGGTTTCATGGAGGATTGTTTCTTTTGGCATATCCACAACTTTTCACCCTTGTATGAGAGAGCTTATATAGAATTTCCCATTGTATTTTTCAGTGGCTCAACTGTAAATTTCCACAGTGATTACTAATTGAAACAAAGAGTATTTTGAATAGTTGCAGGATGTGTTTGTGGTCCACACTAATGTCTGATCCCCCAAACATTTCCGAGAGACAAGATTGCTCTCCGTTTGATATTTTAGGTGCACAAAGCGTATTGAACATTTTGGTGCATCTTCTATGGGAATCCATCGACTAAACTGTTTCTAAAAAGCTGCACTTGATTCAATCCTGCAGTTGTAAAATTAGAATCATTAGAAAAAGGTTAAATATATATGCATACAAAAACGTCAAATTGTTTGTCATGTGGGTTGAATGTATGTTATAAAAAATCTGGAAATCTGGGACTTACGACTTACAATAAAGCTAGACAACCCATATGACTTAAACATTATCAACGTCAGCTGCCCTAGCTAATACTACTCTCGTCACTTTGTTAACCCCATTGGAGTGGGTTCAGTTCCACCGTACCTTTAGGGCTCGTTTGTTATTGTTGATGATATTTGACAAATTTAGTAGGATGGTACACGATAGTACTGTATAAATTGTTCGTCCACATATTTTGTGATGTGATATTCAACAGGACTGAAGATGGGACTAATATCATATTCGTCCATTACAATAATGCCTTTCACCCAAACTAAAAAAATTTAGAGAAGCAATTTCGATAGCTTGTCAAATCCTTTTGCAACTGGCGAAGAGCAAAAAATGGATTTGAAGTTTTGGACTACTTTCACTGTTTCAACTTTCACAAGCACTAGTGGAATCAAATTCATTTTACAAAGCGTGTTTCCCAAAAAGTAATTGTTATCCATATTTTTATTCTGCCTCTCCCTGAAGAAATATGTTATGCTTCTCCAAATCGTGATATGTGGTGTGATGCAAAGTATGGGCAAATCTTCAAAAACCACAAATCCCGGCTTCAAATACTTTTTCTACCATAAAATAGATTCATGCCGAATTCAAGTTTTACATTCCATTTTTTAATCATATTTTCTTTATATTTAGAAAGGATCTGTTACTAATTTTGCCAAATGTCTGGTGGTTTATTTTAGTGGAAACTATTTGCACGTTAAAAATAGGAAAATATAAAAAAAGGATCCATACAATTATTAATAAAAATGGAATTAGTATTTCGGTTTTTCCAAAAAGTGGAGTGCAGTAAGACAAACGTGTACATGGCAGCAACATAGCACATAAAATAAGGAAATACCTAGCACCAACAATATTTTGATCACCTGTTTTTCTGATATTTATTAGGCAAAATCACAACATTAAGATGGGCACGAAGGAAAACTACAACAGATCTGTTGAGATGAAGCAGCGACCTGATTAATCCCAGCAGCACCGACAAAAAACGAGCTCAAAACAGAAAAAACAGCACCTAACAAAAGAGGAGCTCATAACAGATTTGATATAATTTATATTTTTCACCAGATGCCTACAGTCCCTGCCAGTATACAACTACATTCTCACAAGACACATATACACGACATTTCAGACCAAACGGCCAACAAAGAATATGGGCTATAATAAGAAAATAACATTGCCATAATCCAATTCCATCACATAATCCATCTATCCATAGCCATAGCCATAGCCATAGCCATGTCCACTGCTACTCAACTATTAGTACTACAGTCGCAAAAGCAAATAAACAATGCCCACATAAACAGTCACAAGAAGCACCAAGCAAAAGACAGCAGCAATTAGCATCCACAAGACTTTGTACACTGCATTTTTTTTTTTTTTAAAAGCAAAACCCAATCAAGACTGCATGGCCTCAGCATGATAGCTCTCGAGTTCTTTGTCAAGTTCATCAGCTGATTTCTCGACAGTTCTCTTTCTCCGGCGTGCCCCGCCACCACGCCCACGGCGGTTGCTGGCACCACCACGTCCATGGCCACCAACTCCACGGCTACCGCTGCTGGCACCACCACGGATGTTGCTAGGACCACCACGACTTCTTTGCCTGGCCAGATTTATATAATTGAACATTAGAAAGATATGCACAATTGACTAAGGCTCTCTCCACAGCTTGTCCACAATCAGCCCATCTTTGGAACTTTATCCCATAAAAAAAGAAGAGCATAACACAGCATGTGGCAGATAGATAACCTATATTTATCATAAAATAAAGACTTCCAGTGCCGGATTAAAAACCTAAACTAATCGCAAGAATTCATAACTGCCGCTGATTATTACACAAAAATTTTTCAATTCATAAACATCAACATTCTTGTGATCACTTGTGGACAGTATGCAGCTTCTACTACAGTGAGTGAATGAGTGAGTGAGGGAGAGAAATTTATCTATATACAAATGATCATGCAAACTCATGATTAACAATTTATAAGCATTAACATTTGAACCTACGTTATTAACTATAACCACTCCCCACTTCATGAGGCTAAACATATTATGGCTAACAACACAAACAGCTCATCTGAAACTTACAAAGAATTGTGATTTGCCGCTGCAAAGCCACCTCTGGAACGACCAGGTCCAGACCTGCACGATAACAAGAACATATTAAGTTTCTCTTTGTCGAGGAAGGAGAGTATGGAAATGAATATAAAAGTATAATGTTTTAAAATAGATTGGTAGAACAAGTATAGAACTTTGAAAACCATCTGTTATGATTCAACCAATGCCATTCATTAAAGAGCGGACCATAGGCCCGAGGTCTGTTAGTCAATGTTATGGTCGTCAATAACCTTTACAGTACTTGCTCAAAATTTTAAGACAGCAGCAACACTACCCGACAAAAAAATAAACAACAATCCGAAATTAAAAGAAAGGAACATTTAAAAAAGGGACTAATGATGAAGTTCAAGAAACAAAAGCACATACGCCATGACAACTGTCCTCTTCTTTCCAGAAGCTCCTCCAACATTAACACGAGGTGAAATGGGGATCTCCGCTTTGGCACCTATTATCTCTATCTTCATAAGTCTTCCATCTAGCTGGACATTGTTATATCGTTTAAATGCTTGAAATGCATCAGTTGTTCTTGCAAAAACCACCTCTGCTGTACCCTGTTTGAAGATCAAAGGAAATAAATTTAAACATTAGCAAGTACAGAGAAAACAATCAAAAGCATGCATGATGTGGTTTTCTCACAGGAAAAGCCACTTTCATGTTCGAAATGTTACAACAATCTCCAAGCAAATTTCCCTAAAATAAAATTCTACTTTATAAATTACAAAGATATTAGATCAATGAGCTTCTAGAAAGTCGCTGGAAACATCATCATAGAATTCTAAGCGAACGACGGTTAGTAACTGCAGACCATGCTCGTACTTTGTTTAATACGCACCGAGTACGAAAGGTTACATTCCACAAATGCATTTCCTCAAACATAAATGAACATTCTCAAGTCATTAAACTAAAAATTTACATGACAAATATAAATACTGAATTCGTAAATTACAAAAGCTCCCAACTTACACTTGGGCGCCCATCTTTGTCGAAGTGAATTGCATATCTAACCAACTCCCCAATCTCCGAAAAGAGCTCCTGTGTTGGATGTCGTTTCAGCATAATTTCCAGCAGAAACCCATCGCAAACATGAATAAAATATCAAAGCATCACACTAAAAATTAATACCCTTATATCTTCATTGGACACCCCAAAGTCCAAGTTTGAAATATATAGCTTTGTACCAGCATCCATACCCGACAAACCAGCAGCTTTAAGACTATCTTCAAACAAACCATTCTGCCATGGTAGAGGCCTGGGTCTGCGAATGGACTGATGCAAGCAACCAAAACAAAAATCGAGATTGCGAAAATGTAATGTCAGCAAATGACCAGAAAATAATATTTTACCGCTCTTTCAAGATAAAGTAGTAGATCATCAAAGTTCCAGGAAGTAGTCAGATGGTAAAGCTCGAACAGAATATCTACTTCCGCTGAAAATTGATGTATTTAGTCAATTCAGGAATCAGATTTTTCATCACATGCCAGTTAGCGCCATGCGCAAGGTGAGAGCCCATACTCAAATTCAACACAGGATTCACCTCTGCAGGAAGCCTTGAACTGAGACATGGCTGAAAACTTCCCAACGCGATACACGAGTATTGCAATGGTAGCCATCACAAGACAATGGCTATCTCATTAACTCCCCCTCATAATTGATAGTGACAAACTAGAGAGATCTTGATTAAATAATTATCAATAAAGGCCGCTAACAAGATCAAGCCTCAAAATATTAGTGGATATTAAACGGTGAAAGATCTTAGGTTTTCAAATAAGCTCCTTGACATAAGATCCTAAGCAAAATTCCACCAAATTTCCTGCTTTTGATAAATATCCATTGCAGAATGCTCAACAAAATCCCAGAAATCAGATGAAAAGTGGGATACTTAAAGCATTCTCTGGAATATAACAGCCGTATTTCCTCTGAGGGAACTGTGGCCATCTCCCAGGACCAACTACTGTAGCAAAATCTCTCAAATGCATGCTTCTAAGGCAAAACTAGAACCTTCTTGGCAGTTACTACAGCATAGCAGATTGTCTATGTAATTGATAAGTCATCCATAGTTTTGAGCTTGCCTTGGCAATTGCAAAGGATGAAGATCGAGCATTCACTCCAAGCGGATTTCTGCGAGGAGCCCCAAATCCGCCAAATGGTCTTCCACCTCTGGAAGACCCTACTGGCCCTCTTCCACGACGGGGCCTGCCTTGTCCTCGGCCTCCCTTTTCATTATTTCTCCTGCTCTTCTTAATCACATCATCCAAAGCCATATCCAGAGATGCCATAGACAATAAAAATGTTGCAAGACTCAGCTAACTGAAGTAACCTGCATGGACAAAACATATGATAGGGTTCTCAAATCAGAAAAACGAGTCATTCAACCAATAACTAACTGATCAATGTAATCAAAAACTGAGTCATTCAACCAATAACTAACTGATCAATGTTATCTAAATATGAGTCATTCAACCAATAACTAACCGATCGATGTTATCTACATAAGGAATCCCAAGCTGACAGTGCTTTTCCCATATTTATCCAATCAAGGCAATACATGAATGCCTAAGGTAGTTGGATTAATAAATAGGTGCATACATCATCAAAAAGCAATTTTGCCAAAAAAAAATAAATAAATAAATAAAAATTGTTGGTTGAGCAAGTTGGAAGACTTGAAAAAGCTCAGTAGAAATATGACCCCTATTAGCTATCAGAATATCTGGAGCTCTAGCAGTTCTCACAAAAATTATCTGAATCCCAGGCTAAGCAAAAACGTTTCTTCCTGGTAACTATATATCATTCACCAATGAATATAGATTCAAAAGTCAGAGTTACATACGAAGGATCAGATATGCATTGTTTTCAACAACAAAAAAACAAGATTTACAAGTAAATTTTACAAGCAAAAACAAAATCAACAAAATTGATACATATCCACAACAATAGATCAGACGATAGGTCTAACAGGATTTGAAATCTTATGATTGACGAGGAAAGTACCTAGATCAGCTCGAATAATAGGAACACAGGAGCTAAATCGTCAAAAATTCTTCACCAAATATATGCAGTAAACATTCTTCGGAGCATAGAAATAGGAAATCAAAAACGACGGAGAACGGAAATCGAAGATCTGACAGAGGAGAGAAAGGATTTGATTTTTGGGGGAGTTCTTTTTTTTTGCGGAGCTAGGGTTTCAACGATGAGATTAAAAAAAACTAATGTGAATAAGATATTTTATTTATAAACCGATAAAATGGGCTTTTATATCTGGTAAATCTAGTTATGGGCTTTTAGTGGGCTAAGATTATAATTACTGACTGGGCCTAATTATGTGAAGCCCAGCTCACATGCTGCGACTTGCTGGAATGCTGGGTACTCTTCTACCGCCAAAGTGGAGCAACAGTTGTCTGTTGAAAAATAGCGCCTCTCGCGACCTCCATTTTTCTCTATTACCTTCTCAACAAAACCCTCAATAAAAATATAAAATAAATAAATAAAAATAAATAACAATAATTATACAGGCAGAGAATGCGAACGAGGAGACAATCCAAGCTACGCCAAACAGTGGGTATGTTGTTGAATCACATGCAACTGCTGATTTTTTATTTTGTTTCTAAGCTTTACTTATGTTCGATTCAATTTTGTGATTTTATGGGAAATTTGTGGCTTTTCTTGATCAAATGACTCATCCGGGAACCTCCATGGCTTGTGTTAATGACGGCGGAATTCAATTTGCAGCCATTTTGTTTTTCCTTGCACCATTTATGCTTCAGTCGTTCACTCGAAGTTGCAAAGTTAAATCCTGCGAATGGACAAATTTTCGGCTTTATTTTGAAGTTGGAAGTTGATTCTGTGCTTAACTTGGTATTTTCGTGCAGCTCTTTATTTTTTGCATTTTGCTATTGTCTCCGTTTTTCAAGGTGTAGGTGAACAAGAAGCTACGGATGCCCATCATGTATCTGAGAGCATTGATGAAAATGGTGTGTTTTTTGTGTTAATATTAAGCTAGTATAGTATGAATGTGAGGAAGCTAGGGGTTCTCGTAATGTGTGCTGATAGTAGCTTTATTTTTGCTTCAGCAGAAGCTCTATCGAACATTTCACGGAATGCCGTGGGGAAGCTTTTGAAAAGAGTTAAGAAAGGCTTTAATAAGGAAGATGTTAGTTATTTGCGTCACTGTGAGTCGTCTGCTAAGGTTCGCCAGTTCTCTTGTTTTCATCATTGCTTGTTTCAATCATTATTTGTGATACATTATTGCCTACCAGTTCTCTCGTTTTCATCGTTTCTTGTTTGAACTATTATTTTTGATACATTATTGCCTACTGTTCAGATGGAGAGAAGATCGACAGACAACGACAATAAATCTACTGATGCAGACAGAGGAAAGGATAGAGCAGATTCCGAATCTTACTATGGAGAAGCAATGGAGTATGCTTATAATCCTGAAAAGGTTGAGACCAACAATGGCTCTGATGATTCCGAATGGGAAGATGGGTCCATCCCTACAATATCTCCCATGGAAAAGTTTCAAAAAAGTTTGGCCAGTGGTGTTTCTGTTGAATTTGATGTGTCACATGCCTCAGCAAAACGGAAGCCTATCAAACGTGCCACTGCAGAAGAGAAGGTAGATTTTCAGCTGGTGCCTAAAGTATCTTTCATTTTTTTCTTTTTCCTTTTTGCCCCATGATTGGAAATTCTTTTGCCTCCTACGCTCCAAGATAGATCTGGTTTTTTTGACAGGAAGTTGCTGAATTTGTGCACAAGGCTCATTTGCTTTGTTTGCTGGGGAGGGGAAGGTTGATCGATAGTGCTTGCGATGATCCTCTTATTCAGGTTCATCGTCTTTATCCCAAAAATAATATTATATGGCTTGCAAATAGTAATTTTGGACGCTGACCTGTTTCAAGTGTCAGGATGCTATGTGGTAGTTGTATTAGGTATAGGTATTTAGGGGAAGCAGAAGATGAGGATTTATTTATATTTCTACCTTGACTGGCTTCATAAATATTCCTGCCATCTCACAGTATGGTCATTAATTTTGGATTGTACTGATTCTGTGATCTTTTATCGTGTCCTCTGACACATGAAAGGAGACATGTGTTTTGAAGTTGGAAGCTCAAAGATAGAAATACATCCTGTTGCATAATTAAATCCTTTGGCATTGACCATATTGTTCATCTTGCAACTTGTTTGTCATAGTAAGTGCAATCTTATTAGATAGAAGCACTTTGAATGAGGCCTTCTGATGTAGGGAAGCGTACGAGTGGGAAAGATAAACGAGATACTCTCTCGACAAAACTCACAAGAGTCAATCAATTCATATTTCATTCATAATCAACTGAATAAAACAATAGTTGAGGAACCCTTTAAATAAGACTCTTAAACCCTATTCCTAGCTTGTTCCCCAAGCTAAGTATTAATTATTTAATAATAATAATAATAATAATAATAATAATAATAATAATAATAATAATAATAATAACAAGCATCATAATTATTCTACACCACCTTCCTACTAATGTGTTCTAATTGAACGACTTCGTCTTACGGTGTACCAACTCATATGCTTTAACCTCACCAGTAGATGATCATATTGTTGGGATCATCTTTTACTAGTTTGACCACAAAAGGTAAGAGGATAAACTTTATGAGATCAGTAAACATATGTTCCATAACTGATAATGGAAGTTGATTTTCGGATAAAGTTTGAGCGTTAAATGTCACATTAGTCATCACATCTGCAGTGGTACTGCCTTTGCAGCTTCTTACATTGATCAACACAAAATGTTGAAAAGGCCATTTGGACTTCAAAGTCATATTTCAGATGTTCCTTGGATGCTGGAAATCAAAGCCGAGAGCTGGTTGACCGTATATTCTGTTTGCTGTACATACGATATTAACAAACATTGTTTGTCATATTTTTTTCCGTTTTGGATGGGACGTTGTTATGGTTCTAAATGCTTATATGCTTTTATGTACTTTTTGTGATGCTAAATTGTATTTGCTGAAATTGGATTTGGAAATGCTGATGGTTTTGTGAACATGATTTATAGTATGGTCAGGTCTTCGTAGCTCTTTCTTGGTCGTTTCCTATAAATTGTATAAAACTATCCTTATGAAGATATTTAAATCATGGCAGGCTTCTTTACTTTCTCTCGTCCCGGCAGACTTGCTCAAGATAACAGAGCTCCCCAATCTTACTGCTAAACATTTGTCCCCTCTTGTCAGTTGGGTATGAGAGCTAATAAATGTTAGTTTCTTTGTTTTCATGTTCATTTCTTAATTTGAAGTTTTGAAATTGGTCTAAATTATAATTTTGCTTATAATCAGTTCCACAACAACTTCCATATTAGCTGTTCAAGTGTAGCTGAGGAATCATATCATTTAGCATTGGCATCTGCGGTGGAAACTCGAGAGGGGCCACCAGAAATGGTATAATATTACCCTGAATATTAGAATAATATGTATTTGTTCAATGGTTCTCAATTTCAAGAACTTTACACTGGCATTTAATTGGAATTGCATCAAGTTGAATTGGAGCAAGAGGAGGTATGTTCATAGTTGTTAGATTAACCAGTAAATTTTATAAGGCAATACCTTCAAGCTTTAGAAAAAAGCGTCTCATAGATAGTAATCGTAGTATTTCATAAATAACTAAAAAAGATTCTTTAATGGAGCATCAATGAGTAGTGTTACTGTTGAATCTTGCTGAAACAAGCTGATTGGGGGCATGCGCAAGATCTGGCTGGAACGAGTTTTACAACTTATCTAGTTACTACTGTTTTTGCTGCTAATTTTTGAGTTCTATGGGTACATGCCTTCTGACCTGTATTGGCCATGTGGACGGAAGTAGCAATCTTTTTACACTTATACAGTTATATACGATATGCTTGTGCAGTAATTATGTAAGCAGGTATGACCTATTGTTTTCTAACTTTAGATACTTTTTTTTTTCTTTTTCCAGGTTGCAGCACTGTCTGTGGCACTTTTTAGGGCTCTGAATCTAACTACTCGGTTTGACTTTCTTTTACTGACAATAATTGTTTGTTAACTTGACAACTCTAATAATATGACCGGATATATTTTGTTATTAGTGTGCTAGTCTCCTAAGCATGTTTATCCCCTGTTATTGTTGTCTTGCTTGCAATTACGAATTGTTAATATGACCAGATGTGTTTTTTTCATTAACTTCTTGCTTGCAAATATGATTTTCTAACAAGCGAAGGGAAAAGAAAGCAATTTTACTGGGAGCCTGTGATCATTGTTTGGGAGCTTGTCTTTCATAGTTGAGTGTTGTAGGATGAGGTTAGCTTTATAAGGTACCAAGCTTATCATTGGTGAAATTTATAAGCGA